TAACACTTTTCTAGAGGGAGTGCTGCCGAAATTTTCTACAAAATTAAAGGAGTTAGTTAAATTCAGTCTAAAGTTGAGCTCGAGCTGTTGTTCGATTTCATATCTGGCTTAGTATAAATCTGGAAAGTCTCTTTTTCTAAAGGCAGTGCTGCCCAAATTTCTACTAATTCAGAGAGTTAGACAAAATTTGACTTTCCAGGAGTTGGAGATTATTTTCTGCTTTATATCTGGCTTAGTATAAATCTGGAAAGTCTCATTTTCTAAAGGGAGTGCTGCCCAAATTTATACTAATTCAGAGAGTTAGACAGAATTTGACTTTCCAGACTTAGAGATTATTTCGGTGTTCTACCCCAGGGCTATGATTTTGTCTACTAGGCAGGGAACCTTCGGCCCATTCCTTATCTTTTGCTCTTTGGAGTTTTTATAGTTCGACGTTATAGTCCTTGGCAGCCGTCAAAGTCAAACCCCTTGATGTTTGACCGCCACTTCAGGTTAAGGCTGTCTACTCAACCCCTCTGCACAGGGTGCAGAAAAGGGTGTGGTCTTCAACCGCGCATGACTGTTGTCCAGCGTCGAGAGATTAACCCTCAAGGCGCGTGTCAGCCGACACTTGAGTGTCGAACGCGGCCCTCGCGATTAACGGAGACCACGTGAGAATGGGTACCGCATAGTACGCCTTCATTGTGATTGCTTGCGTACAATTGCATTGCGAGTCGATATGCGATAGCCCTGCGTCCGCGCGGTTTTATACTGAGCCTCGCGCGCGACGCCTATTCGATTTCCGCGTTGGAAAGTTATGGGTTGGCTACCGAGGGGCTAGGAGCGTTGTCGCATTGTTTGTGTTGTGTCGTTTCGTATATGTGTTGTTTTGTGTGTATGTGTATTTGTAAAGTGGAGTGCGTGTGGTGTGTGGGAAGCGTCCTAGTCGACAGATGACGGGTCGCGCTTGGCACCTCAGCCCCCCCAAAATGCCGATTCGCGTCCGGTTTGATAAAGGCGTATTAGTTGAATAAGGGGATGTGCCTGTTTTCTTTTGCCAGGGAATTTGAAAAGAAGAGGCTGTCAAGATGCCTGAGACTGGCGGCGCATTAGTTGCTCCCAAGAAGGGCCTAACACTCGATGACCTCATCGCGGCCATCGACAGACATGAAAGGAATCCGAGCGACATCCCAAAGGTCGATACTTTCCATTTCTGTGGGGAGAGAGTCTCAGAATGGAGAGAGAGGGTGGAACAAGCTTTGGTTGGGCGGTCGGATGTTGTAAAGTTTCAACGCATCCTTCAGTATGTCCTCCACAGCTACCATCAGGAGGTGAAGAAAGTCATACATGCGGACTAAGGTAGCTGGGAGAGGTTCAAGGAGGGGATGCAGAGGAAGTACCATTTGGGAGACGGGCTATTGACTACCGCAGACCTTGAGGCGATGAACAAAGAGAATTTTACGACAATAGGGGCCTTTGTTCAAGAATTTAAGAAGAGAGCGCGGAAGGTCCATAGGATTTCGGAGGAAGCACAATGCGCCATCTTCCTGGGGCTACTCACGACATCGGAGGTCGTCGAGTTGACGAGGCATGGAGGAGGTAGCACTAAGCTTACCTGGACCACCATTGATAGAGGGGTGGAAGTTGGGTGTTTGGACCAGGTGGARCAACGTCAGGTACGCCTGCAAAGGCAGAAGAGAAAGGAAAGAGATGCGACTGCTTCTGGGACCCCGGGGGTAACAAGGATTGTTACAGACGTGTTGGCACAGCTAGGGTATGCGACAGAGCTGGTGGTGCAAAGGAGGGTGGTGACGACTGTCAAAGTGAAAGGAAAGGAGCCGGTGATAGAGGAGGCTGTTCAGGAAGAGCTCTGGGAAGAGGAAGAGCCGATGCCGCAGCACCTAACGAAGGTCCAGCGCAAAGTGCGTAATTTGGCGCAGGGTCGACACGGATCAGGAAAAGCGCAGGCGCCTCAGGCCCAGGCAGCGGCCCCTTTAAATATGGCGGCTCCATCATCTAGTACGGGCCCCTCGCAAGGTGGGGCGCCCTCCTACGGACAGTGGCCCTGGCCGGTGATTAATGCAATTGTGCCATGGGGAAGCCCGCCGCTAGTAGCCGGACCGCAAACGAGTATGCCACCACCCATCTACCCCGGGGCCCAGGCCCAGCCGGTGGCCCCACCACCGTCTCCTGCTCCCAGTTCACAGGGCAGTGTTGCAGGAGGTGGGAACCAGGGGCAGAGCAATCAAGGCAACGGAAGGAGGGGTGGAGGAAGGGGGCGAGGCAAGAATGGCAGCGGAAAAGGAAGGCAATGGAATGGTCAAGGCCAGGGGTACCAAGGCCAAGGGAGTCAAGGCCAGGGGTGCCAAGGCCAAGGGAGTCAAGGCCAGGGGTACCAAGGCCAGGGATACCAAGGCCAGGGGTACCAAGGCCAGGGATACCAAGGCCAGGGGTATCAAGGCCAGGGGGATCAGGGAAGTCATGGGTATGGAAGACCCCGTTTTGACTGGAGGACGGTCATCTGTCAACATTGTGACCAACAAGGCCACACTATAAGGTTCTGTAATATAAGACGGGAAGACGAGAAAAGCGGACTGATTTCCTCCACTATGGATGGGAATATCTACGATTAGTTTGGGGAGGCAATTGACAGAAGGCTTGGAGGAGTGAGGGTTGAAGCCCACCGAAGAGCATAGTTGGGCCGCCACCCCCTGCCATGTTCAAGCTATGGCAGGAAAAGGAGGAACCACCGATTGGGCTAGAGGAAGAGGGGAGTGATGAGGAAGTAGCTCAAGGGCAACGAGGAGAAAGTAAGACGAAAGAGCCCATAATCATCGAGTCAGATGATGAGGATGAGGAGGAAAGAATGGAGCCTCCGTCCGTCTTATTTGGGAAAATGGAGGACCTGTTGGATAAGATGGGGAGGTACCAACAAAAGTTGGTGGGTCTCTGTGAGGAAGTGAAGGGATGGAGGTCTAACATCCCCAAAGTGTTCCTCTATGACTCCGGCCCGGAGTCAGCGCCTGGGCGACCCGGAGTAAATGTGGTGGGGTCGTGCCCACAATCGGGAATGATGGGGAGACCCCTCACTCCGCAGGGCCGGCTGGCACAGGCAGCGCGAACGAGGAATCAAGCCAAGGCTAGTGCCAGCCAAGAGCCTCCAAGGAGGGAAACCGAACCAGGGAGAAGGAAAGAAGCTGTGGAAGTAGAGGACGACGATGATGAATAGGAAGAGGACGAGAGGCTGCGCATAGGAGAGGATCAGAGAACGGGGCAGCGGGCGAGAAAAAAGGGAACCAGGGGAGAGGCCGAGCCAGTCATACGTGACGGACCACCCAAAAAGAAGAAATACGTGGTTCGGTTGGAAGAGGGATTTGACGTAGAGAAAGTAATTGACAGGCTGCTGGAAGGGCATAATAACCTCATGACTCTGAAGGAAATCCTAGCGACGGCTCAAGCAGGGTTCCCAAAGGCGGTACAAGACGGTAGACAAGAAGTGCCGCCCGGTTCCCGTCCTCGTTACAGAAGACGAGGAAGCATATTACGAAAGGGGACGAGGGTTGATACGACGAATTAGGGAAAGTGCTTTACCAGGGCCATGTCGTATCAACGAAGGGAACGAGGAGGAGTTGATCATAGGGGAGTCCGACTTCCTACTGCCTCAAGAGCGAACATTGGTGGTGAAATGAATGAAGAGGAGGCATCGCGCCTATGCGCTTAACGACGAGGAGCGTGGCATGCTGGATGTGGACAAGATACCTATGATCCGCATCCACACCGTGCCACACAAGCCTTGGAACATGAGAAGGGCGCGATACCCCAATCCTGACGAGGAAAGGAAGGTGGTGGATTACCTCGACGACAAAATACATACGCACGTCGCCGACTATTCCAGTGGACCGTATGCGTCCCTGTGGTTTTGCTTCATTAAGCCTAACGGGACGCTGCGATGGGTGCAAGATCTGCAGAGGTTAAATGCGGTGACCGTGCGAGATGCTGGAAGACTGCCAAATGCGGATGCTTTGTCGGAGTCCTGTGCTGGAAGGCCTATAATTTCACTTGTAGACCTTTACTCAGGATACGATCAGTTTCCCGTCTACCCGCCGGATAGGCCTGTGACGGCTATGCAACCGCCACGAGGATTAATCCACATGAACGTGGCCCCTCAAGGTTGGACCAACGCGGTAGCTATGGTCCAACGGGCCATGATTCGGGTTATGCAGTCAGTCAACCCCCATATTATACAGCCATACATCGACGATTTTGCGATGAAGGGGCCGACAGTAAAGGAGAGCGACGAAGTCTCGCCAGGGGTAAGGCGCTTTGTTTGGGAGCACATCCAGGACCTTGAAAAAGTCTTAAGCCTGCTCGAGGAGCATAACCTCACGGCAAGCGGGGCCAAATCCAGACACTGTATGAGGGAAGCGTTTATTTTGGGGTTCATCTGCAGCGAGAAGGGCCGAAGGCCGGATGTGAAGAAGACGGACAAGATTACTGAGTGGCCAGTTCCGTTCCACTCAATAACTGATGTCAGGAGCTTCCTTGGTACGTGTGGATTTTGGAGGACCTTCGTCAAGAACTTTGCTGCTAAGACTGAACATCTGAGGAAGTTAGTCCGTCAGGATCAGGAATGGGTTTGGGGTAAAGAGCAAGAAGAGGTGGTAGCCAGAATGAAGGAGGAATTTCGAGAAGGAGGGTTGGTGTCAGGAGCACCTGATTATGATGCTACATAAACACGACCCTTCATTGTCGAAACAGATGCGGGGCCAACTGCCTTAGGAGGAGTTCTAATCCAGGCAGACATGGAGGGAAAGGAAAGACCCTTCAGATTTGAGAATCAGACTGTTTGTACGACCGAGAGGAACTACTCTCAGTTCAAGAGGGAGACCCTTGTCGTCCTCCACTGTCTGCGAATCTTCCGGAACTACATCTTCGGCAGGAGGTTTATTTTGAGGGTGGATCCGACCGCCCTGGCCTACTCTCTAAGGAATTACGTTCCATCGGATCCGACGGTTGCCAGATGGTTGACGTACATCTGGATGTTCAATTTTGAACTGGAACGGATTCCTGGCAGTAAAAACCGGGCGGGCGGGTTGAGTTGGATCAACTGGGATAAACAGGAAGGGGAGGCGGTGGAGAGTACACCCCAAGTTGATGGATTTGTAGATCAGGAAGAAGACGTTCGTCTCCATATAAATAAGTGGTCGCCGCGAGTGCCCAGCTGTGTAGGCTATCCTATCTGCAAACACCAAATGGATACGAACGGAGGGCTGAGCTAGTCCTCAAACCCTTTGAAGAAAAGGATCCCTGGGGTGGTAAGGATGTTCAGTAGATGATGGAATTAGCGCTTGCCAGCTCGCATAGTTTGGTGGAGGATATGAGAACGATTGAGGAAGGACCTGGCCAGGTAGAACGGCATGAGGACCTGATATGGGGAATGTATCTCCTCGTCAACACGTTATTACAAGAAGGCCTTGACCAGTCAGGCTCGTTGAACCCGACAGGAAATGTGGACGAAGTGTCCGAGAGCCAGGACGACGAGTTCGAGGAGGGAGAGATTAAGGAGGGTTTTCGTGCAGAGGAGTACGACGGGATCTACCTAGAGCTAGGACTTCTTTTGTCCTGCGAAATGCGGCTAAGGGATGCGAGCGATAGGACTCAGAGGATGCTGCAGCGCTACTTAGTGTGAGACGGCCACCTTTTCGTGAGAAGAGAAGTGGGGAATCCCAGGAGAGTCGTCTGCGGTAGGAATCGTCAGATCGACGTCGTAGCAGCGCTCCACGATGGCATTGCTGGAGGGCATCGAGGGGTACAAGCCCCGTATGCCAAGATAAGTGAGCTATACTACAGGGATGAGATGATGGATATAGTTGGGAAGTTCTGCCGATCTTGCGTACCTTGCAAGGAAAGATCCCGTTTAAGGCAAGGAGAGTCGCTGCATCCAAGGGTAGAGCGAGAGGGTGGGGGTCGTAGTGCATCTCGATCTACTTTTTATGCCGCTTGGGGATCAGGGCTATAACTACATCTTCGATGCGCGCGATAACCTGTCTGGGTTCGTAGACGGGCGTGCTATTCGCACAGAGACCGGGTCGGTCCTGGTGAGCTGCATCGAGGAGTATTACCTGCGCTATCCTTTCGTCAAGGAATTCGTAATGGACAGGGGATCAGAGTTTACCTGCCAGGAGGTGCAAGAATTGTTATCAAGGTATGGTGTGGCAGCCAACTACACCACGGCCGCGCACCCCCAGGCGAATGCTCCCGTAGAGAGAGGACATAGTACCATTACGAGTCTCCTGGYTAAGTGGACCGAAGGTAGGCCTAATCAATGGCGAAGATACCTAAGAGCGRCGTTCGTTGTCGAGAACATTACAGTAAAAAGATCCACCAAGTACGCACCGRYGACACTATSGTATGGAAGGCACGCCACCTTCCCTATYGAGAACTTTCTTAAGACATGGAGGCGCCAGGATCTGGAAGTCAACCTGTCATTTGAAGAGTTGCTCGATATTCGGGCGCGGCAGATAGGGGCGATAGAAGAAAGGATCCAGGAAGCGTCTGACCAGGTGGCGAGAAGCCGTATGGATGATAAAGCTCGATGGGATCAATCTGCGCGGGTGAGGAAAGTATCCTTGGCAGTTGGGGATGTCGTGCTTCTCTACGATTCATCACTGGAGAAGCAATGGTCCAGGAAGCTCGATAAGAGGTGGTTAGGTCCCTACCGGATTGTACGGGTCCGAGACTTCGGAGCGTATCAGATTGAGGAGCTTAATGTGACTGAATGGAAGGATTGGGTATCTGGAACGCGACTGAAGAAGTTTGTGGCGAAAGAAGAGGTAAGAGAGAGATGACTTGACTGCCTTTAAAATAAAAGTAATAGGGTGTGTAGGTTAGGTAGGATGCATGCTGCATGAGTGTGGTCTGGTCTAAGCTTGCTTTGATTATCACTTGCTTGCTTACCCCAATGTGTGCTTGTTGTCTCCTTCGCCTGTTGTGCAGGTCTGACTTTACGAAGACAGCCATGCCAAGAGGAGGGAAGGGGACACGGCCGCCTCAGAGGCCGTTGGGCGCATCAGGAGGATATGAGCTGCATGGGCCTCACCATCGAGAGAGTACTCCGGTCTACAATGATGGGGACATCGAGCTATTCCTGGACCGTGGCTCAGGCGATAGAGAGATTGAGGGGAGCTGGCAGATTCGAGGAGCCCATTGCCAGGATTCGTAGGGAGGCGACGACGAGGCAGGAGGTGGAGTTGAGGATGGAGGAGTTGCGACCCTCGCCTGTGGGACCAGATGGCAGGCTGATTCGCCTGGAGATTGGAAATGCGTCGGATTTCATCCCCGCGTTTGAGTGGTTCATGCAGGGGAAGGGTATACCGAGAGATGATTGGATGCAGACGCTACCACTCTGGACCAGGAAGGCGGAAAGGCCACTGGCTAGCCAAATCGGAAGCATGGCCCGGGACTGGGAGAGCTGCAGGGCACATCTGAGCGAGGCCTTTTGACGGCCAGAGCCCCCTCAGCCCAGAGTTGAGAGGCGTCATGGGAGTCAGAGGCAGAGGGACCCTGAGCCTAGGGAGGCGAGACCGTCTCGAGGAGGACAAAAGGCCCTAGCCAGGAGAGAAGAGGAGCCGGAGCAGGAGCCAGAGGTTGAGGAGCAAGGGGCATACCCTGAGCGTAGGTTGGGACCAGTGGAGTTCCATCGTTTTACTGAGGGTGGATTGAGGAGGTCGCCAGCACACACACAGAAGGAGCCGCTAGTGTCTGAGGGGCCTTTGAGGGAGTTGGAGACGCATCTGGATATCTCTCAGTGGAGAGCGTCGCCTCAGGGTGAGGAGCATGGAGAGCAGGTAGAGGAGGTGCCACGGGAGGAGGTCCAGGATACTCAGCGCGAGAGAGGGCTGGGCGATGTGGGGAGACGTGCAGGGAAGGAAGCGATAGAGGTTGGAAAGGACATGCCCCCACAGACGCCAGCAGTGGGTTTGAGACTCGGGGATGCACCAGGGAGCACCCGGCACGCAGAGGAGAGGTTGCAGAGAGAGGAGGTCCCATTACCTTCATCAGGAAAGGCTCCTTCGCCAGAAGATAGGACAGAAAGGAGGAGAGAGAGGGCAGCTGTAAGGAGAGAAGCCTTGATCCTGATTCACAGACACCTAGCAGCTCATGCCCTGGAGCACCCAGACCTGGAGGAGCCAGCACCTGCAGAGCCTCGCCAGAAGCCGTACCAGCCCGAGAAGAAGATGGAAGCAGAGATCCCAAAGAGGGTCGACCTCCGCACGAGGGAAAGAGCGCCAGCTGGAGAGACAGCAGAGGAGAAGAGGGCGAGAAGGACCAGGAGGATAGACGAGATATGGCAAGAGAGGCAGAGGTTGGAGGCAGCGGGGGAGCTTCCGGAGCAGCAGCAGGAGAGGCAGAGATCAGAGGCAGCAGGGGCACTCCCAGGTCAGCCACCCAGCGCGCCAGCTAGGGCCCCGCAGATCCCTGAGATGTGGAGGGACTTCTGGGAGCAGAGAGGAGAGGAGCTTCCATCGCCAGTCAGAGCTGGGTTTGGGGTGGCCAAGAAGGCGGAAGAGAGGTTAGATCGTAAAATCAAGTTCCTGGCCAAGACCACTTTTGACCGACACTTGTTATTGGAGAGCGATCTGGCAGGGAAAAAGATGAAGGAAGCAAGCCATGGAGTACGCCTGGAGGCTATGGAGGTGGAAATCCAGGAACTCATGGCATTGGTGGCCAGCTAGGCAGCTATCATTGAGAGCCTGAGGCAGCAAACCCAGGGAAAGGTGGACAAGCCAGAGAGCAGCAGGCAGGGAGAGTAGAGGCAGCCAGGACATGGGTTACAAGGACAACCATCTGCAGCAGAGCCTCGCCCGGAGCCACCTATGGGAAGAGTTATCCTGGAGCCAGAGGAGGCGAGAGCCCAGAGACAGGCAGAGAGAGAGGCGTTCGAGTTTAGAGCCCCTACTGGGCTCGCGACGCTGCCAGTGTCAGCGGCAGGCCCTGTCGTACCTTTGGCGATTGAGGAGGGGCTATCGCCATCTAGCAGTGAGCCGGCTCAGGGGTCAGCATAAGGATCCATGGGCGTACTCCTTGAGGCAGTGCATACCATGCAGGAGGAGGCGAGTTTGTTTTCACCCGAGCAGAGGATAGAGGAGCCGCTTGAGAGAGAGATGGGGATTGAGGTGGAGGGTGYCATCGAGAGCAGGCTYCAGAGGATGGGCACACCTGAGTATGGACCAGAGGAGATTGAGGAGTAGCCCACGGCAGTGCCAGGAAAGACACTCGAGAGGAGACCTCAGAGGTTGGACATGCCTGAGTACGTCCCRGCGACAGGGGATTTGAGGAGCAGACTGAGATCTTGGACTACTGGATCTGGGTCTAGGGGACCGGTTCCTGGGACAGAGCAGMAGGAGGTCRTTAGTACCRCAKCKCCTCGATCAGAGCAGCAGGAGGTTGTCAGTACCTTGGTAGGATCTCYTTCATCGCCACCTCCTCAGCCCAGGAAGAAGAAGTTCAAGAGGAAGGTAGATCAACTATGTTTCTACTGCAAGAGGGACATGCATCATGCTCTGGATTGTCTCGAGTTTCTTGAGGGTAAGGCAGCAGGGAAGGTCTCAGCGGTAGGAGGTAAGATGTATGATAGATAGGGTAGGATAGTAAAGAAGGCCGCATATGGACTTAGGGCTCAGTTATATAGGCAAAACCAGGAGGAGTTGAGGAGATAGTGTCGGTTTGTCTATGTAAGTGGACGAGTATCTTGTGAGGCATCAACTTAGGGTCTGTGTGATACCCTCTTAGACTCAGAGGACCTTTTTGTTGATTGCTATTAGTATAGATCTGAACTCTAGTGCTCCTACAAAGCTGGGGTCTTGAGGTTCAGGGTGATTTAGATGAGGCATGTACATATTAAGGTGGCCTACGCACAGGTTTTGAGAGACAGATCTGACATCTATTCTAGGGGTTATTGTCAATATGGGTTTGGTGTGGTGAGTTGAGTGAGCTATGATTTGGAGACATTTTTTGTGTGAGGCTTTTTTTGTATATTATGATGAGGTTTTATTTCAGGGACCATTCATATATATGACGATCACTTGTCACTCTCACATGTGTGGTTGTACTCTGATGTATGATGAGTTTGTGTGGACACCGTGTGAAAAACATCTTATTTTGTCATAGGTACAGTGAATATGATTGTAAGCAAAACTGTCTACTCCTCGGTATACTTGTGCGACCTGCCCACGGGCAGCTGATAGGGCAGAGTATAAGGGGAGGGAGTGCAGCCTGTTTGTGAAAAGTTGTGAGGATTTTTTATGAGCCCTGAAGACTCAAGAAACTTACCATGTTGATCATTGATTGTTTAAGTTGTGATAAGGACCCATAAGATGAGAGTCCCTTGGATTTTCTGGGAAGGGGATGTTTTATGATGTTGTATGTTATGATGAGACCCCCTCGAGTTTTGAGGAGGGGGAGTTTGGTTTTATGGCGAGACCCCTCGTGATTTTTGGAAGAGGGGGTGTTTTTGTTTATGATGAGAGCCCCTTGGATTTTTGGAAAAGGGGAATGGTCTATGGTTGGAAGACTCACCCTCAGAGGTGAGTAAACAGATTTATGGCATGACGAGTTGTTTGATGGGTGATACAGTCTGACGAAAAGAGTCACTTTTGATTGGAATGTTTGAGAAAGTCGCAATGAATTCAGGGCGAGAGATGTCTCAGAGTGGGTGGTTGCTGGCTCTGATCAAGTCAGGGATCACGGCCTGGTGGACCTAGCGGTGATTTTGTTTGTGAGCGTGCGAAGGATGCCATGCCTATTRTGGAAGRGCYGGTAAATGCCTTCARACCCCTGCGTGATCGCGCAGTGGGCCAGTGATTTTGTTTTGCGATGCCCCCGTCTAACCAYTAGTGCKAATTCTGAGACATATTGAAGAAAKKYCAAGCTAACRGAAAAGAAGTTAGTACCTCTGGGGCGTAACCCCRTTGGATGGCTGCTAGCCRGCGCAACCTGGCTGCGGGACCGCGGGGTAAGAGTTTAAACGGGGGTGCCCGCCCAAGTGAAATTACTCCGCGGGATAATGATGGTTGATAATTTTTGGGGGAAATCCTGATTGAGTGTTTATCAGGAGGAAACCTATCGTTGCGTAACCAACGAAGGTACYGYCGTTAAATAACAATGCGGTGGGCCGTGGTCCTTGTCCGATCAGWCAGGCTATKGTGGGCCAAGGTAGAGACCTAGCCTTTCTGTACTAGASTGCAGAAAGAGYTGAGCGAATATTAAGTATACATATATACTTATGTGTATTTGATGCGAAAGATTTWRAGAAGGAASGCRAGAGTGCMTTCAAAAGGTCTCGATTAARGCGCGCGTCCCTAGTTTTTGCCAGGACTAGGGACACCSAACKAGAAGCCGAAGGTTGTCWAGAACCGGCGAGAGGATGATTGGGAAGATCTGTGGAACTTATGTTGTCAGTGTCCTAATTTTCTGGGCAGTGAGAGGCCTAGGTTAGAAACCTGGCAGCATATAGCTGTGGAGGCATGTTTTGATGGAGGCCTCTATCCTGTGTTTGTCGGCTAATCGGATTGGCTCATTTTTCATCAACATTTGTAGTGTGGATGAATTTATAGCTTTCTGATTTGGCGAAGCAACAGGGACGTCACTTAATATGGTCCGGTAAGCTGTCGGTGCGAATACCCTTCCAAGGGTATCCGCCCTGATTTTTGCAAGTGACAGAAAATAGTTTTGGTCTAAAGTTTAAGTATACCGCGCTAAGTGCGGCTGCGTCAGTAATTGCTTTGACTAGGTGGTTGACCGCAATAGCGAGTGAGTGGGCGCGCAGGCTTAAGGCGCGCGTGATTCTTTTCTATTTTTGATCGTAAAGCCAGCCCGGACCTCAGTCGTTTTGCTTGGTGATATTATTTTATTATTTATTATTTTATTTATTTTTGATGAAGTAGGAATTAAGGATGTTTCCTTTTGATTGGTACACTTGACCGAGTCGAGCGCGCGTGCGGAGAGCGGCCCCGAGAACGGCGTTGGCAACGACGGCGCGGCTTCGTGCGGTGAGCGGGGTGTCGTAGGATGGCGCGCGGGGCAATTATGGCATGGTATAAGCAAACCGGCGCGGACACTAGGAACCGTGCAGCCGTTTGTCGGCCCATAGCGTTGCGCCACACTGCTTATATGGCGCTCCGCGGATATTGGTCTCAGGCTTGGGCTTAGCCTTATAGGTTACGACATCGGACTACTGCTATGAAGGTTCTAGGATCGAGGCCGGCTAACGTCGACGCCGCGATAGCGGAGCGTCGGGGAGAAGGCCGATAGGGTTGAGGGCCGTGGGGCTATCCTCCTCGGTTTTGTTAGTGGCGACGTCCGATTGGTGATGGCGTTTTCTAAAATAGTTTTATTCTACTGTCGTATTTTTCCTACCCCGGCAGGGCATTGGTTTGGATGGGACGCCGGATCTAATGGTCGTCACGGCGGCCGAGGACCTTGAGTGCGCGCCTTTTAAGGCTGGCCTGCGGGTTCTTGCGCGCTTGGGGTGCCAGCGGCATTCCTGTATCCTATTTTATTTTGGTGTGTGGGCTGAGGAGCACCGTCGGTCCCCACGCGGTTCGCCCGCGGGCTTTTTCTCCCACTTCGGTCTTCAAAGTTCTCATTGGAATTACCGCCGAAGGTCGTACGGGGCCCGACTCACTAAGGCCCACGTATAGGCCTTACAGCGGGCCGCGGGTCCACGGCCAACTGACTGAACGGGAGTTTACCCGTTGGGGCCCCGAGGTGGTGGTGGACACCGTAGGAGCGGGCGGGGTAAGAAAGGGTTGTGGCAGGCCGCCCGCGGACCATAGGCTGAAGAAACCGGCAGCCGGGGCGAAGAGAGAGCTTGGCAGGGAGAGCCTGGACGGCGAAGTCGGTGGTGCTGTGTTATGCAGCAGCCCACGGGCCAGGTAGCGAACAGGAGAACAGAATGAACCCGGATGGGGTGAAGGAAAAAGGGAGGTGGTAACGTCGGACCTCAGTCCGACGGGCGCTAATGCAGCGCGGCGCAGCAGCGGGCCAAGCGGCGGAGCAGTGGCGCAGACATGAGGCACACCGTCTGGTGGACTATAGGGGCGAAAGACTAATTGAACCGTCTAGTAGTTGGTTCCCTCCGAAGTTTCCCGCAGGATAGCTGGAGCTGTTGAACGTCGGACTTGGGTATAGGGCCGAAAAACTAATCGAACCGGCTAGTAGCCGGATCTTCCGAAGTCCTCCTTCGGGTTGGCCAGGTAGCGCTGCGTTGCAACCAACGAGGCAGAGACGACAACGGCGGCAGTGTGTAGAAGCGGGGCGGACCACTGCGGGATGACTGCCGGGTGGGGGCTAAGGCAGGCAAAAGAGCAAAGGCGGAGTGGCAAAGATGTGTAGAACGAACCCGGACGGGGGGAGCGTCGGGGTGCATTCGGAGGTCGAATAGCGGAGCGATGAGAGAGATAGGAAATGGCGGGCAGAAGATCGCGAAGCTCGCGCGATCCTAGAAGGAATCAGGAGGGGGAAGGGTCGCCTCGGGGGTTTTCGGCCATGGCGAGTGTAGTGGCGGAGTCAATTCTTACGTTAGATTAGTAGAATAAGAGTAAAGAAGGAAGGTCCGTGCGCCGGTGGCTATGGCAGGGTGTTGGAAAGGGAACAAGGGAGAGCGTATCTCGCTCGATTCCTAGCGGAATCAAGCGAGGAAAGGCACGACATAGGGGTTTTAGGTAGTTGCGAATTGGGATATGGGGTCAGTTTTAGGTGGGAGTTAGTAGGATGGGAGGTTAGTAGAAAAGTGAGTGCGCCGGGAGTGTCGAGGAGGAAAACTCGA